TCTGTGCAGGGAAGGGGGTCATGGGGATGTTGGGGGCGAGGGTCTACAGAAGCCCAAGACACACCAGGCCCGGGTCAGTCGAGGTGAGGCTGGGGCCTGTGCCTACCAGGACAAACAAGGGAGCTGCAGGTCCTCTGCTGGGCTTCCTCCGCATCCCATTTGTATCAGGGAGAAGTCAAACCCATTGCACAGCACCTACGTGCAGCTCATGGCACTCTGGTGTTTGCAGACACCTGCGCCAGCAGGGCGGGTGGCCTGAGCATGGCTTACAGCATTTATTTATCCTTTCAGCTGTAATGCATGAGCTCCCTTAGAGGAAACTGAAGGTGGTGGGATGGTGCATTCCTGGACGCTGGCATCACATCTGAGGTCTGGGTCAGGGTTGCAGGCATGGCTGTCGCCAGGTGACAAATCGGTCTGCTCTGGAGGGAAGCAAGCCCTGGCTGCCTCTGACTCCTGGAACAGCTCTGGGTGTGGAGTGTGGAGGGAGACCCGAATGTAGAAGGTGCCTTTGTGTACCAAGCATCACCTTCTCTTCCCCATGGCCAAAGAGGGACCAGTGACAGCTGACATTCACTGAGTGACGCCCGGCCACCTCTTTGAGCATTTACACTCACAAACTCATCTCTGCTACACAGAAACCCTAGGAAGAAGACACCCTCATGAACCCTATTTGATGGGGAAACCAAGGCAGAAAAGGGTTAAGCGGCTCATAAGTAATGAAACCAGGAGGTGAGCAGACTGCCTGCACTCAGAGCTGTGGCCTCCTGGTGGCGGACATCTCCGTCCCCAACTTACTGGTGAGGACATTGAGGCCTCGAAGGCAAAGGTCTGGCCCAAGGTCACTTGGCTGGCAGGTGGCTCAGAAGGAGTCACACCCAGGCCTGTCCAAAGCCAGAACTCTTTCTCCCAAACTGGATGGCCAAAAAGGTGTGGCCTCCAAGGTCGCAGTGAAGAAGGAGGTGACCACACACTGCGCCCTCTGCTTTCTCCCAGCAGGCAGGCCCTGCTCACCATCCTTCCCACACCTGGCCCAGTAGGCCAGCGCAGGGGTCCCTGGTCAGTTAGCCGCTGCTCCCACCCCCTGCCTAAAGTGTCCACAATTCTGCGTTCCTGAGGGGGCTTCTGGCTGCAAGGGTCAGAAACCTAACTGAAACTTAGAAAAGGGAATGATTACGTCACATCGCTGAGAAGTTCACAGGGACCACTGGAATTTGCCTCTCTCCTGCCCTTGGCTCGGCTGTCCCCTGCATCACCCAGAAGGGGTGGCAGAGATGCTGCCAACAGTTCCAGGTTGTGTCTCCCCAGGGTTCTAGCAAAACTCCCAGGACTGACTCTCCCTGGGCCAGCCTGGGTCACACGGCCATCCCTGGACCTACCACTGTGGCCCAGGGCTTCAGGCCCACCCTACAGCTGGAGAAGAGGTCAGCCCACTCAGGCCTCATGCAGGGAGAAAGGATGGCCCTCCGGGGAAGACAGGGCCAGGAAGTAAAGACAGCAACCCTGTCCCCCACTGCAGACATGAGAGGATCTGGGAAGAGGCCATGGGAACGCATTTGCCCCAGTCTCCCTGATGTGGAGTCCTTCAGCCCTTCATTCCAGACTTTCGAGGATGCTCTCACTGGGCCATGCCCTGCACCGGAGGCTAGCGATGCAGGATGGCTGAGGCCCCGCCATGGCAGTGAGCTCAGCACCAGCAGCCCCCACATTGACCTCCAAGCTCACCTTGACCTCAAGACTCAGCACAAAGACCCACTTACACCAGAGAACCAGCGAGGAAGAGGGGTGTTCGAGTCACAAACCCAGGAGTACTCCTGCTGTGTTCCAAGCTTGTCCTGTCTGCTCTCTTTCCCGCAGCTGTGCTCAGAGCCTCTTTGCCAACCTTTCTCACCCTTCCCCCAAGTTGCTACTGGGTGTGGGATGGGGCTTCAGTTTCTGCAAATCTAAGAGGGATTTTTGAAATTGAGGTAAAATATACATAATATAAAATTTAGCATTTTACCCACTTTAAAGTGCACAACTCAGTGGCATTGAGAGTATTCACAAGGCTGCACACCATCACCACCGTATACAAGAACGTTTTCATCATCCCAAAAGAAACCTGTACCCATCAGCAATCACTCCCTATTCCCTCTCCCCCAGCCTCTGAAAACCACCTGTCTACTTTCTGTCTCTAGGGACTTGCCTATTCTGGACATTTCATATAAATAAAATCATATAATTTGTGGTCTTTCATGACTGGCTTCTTTCACTTGGCATAATGTCCTCAAGGTTCATTCACGTGGGAGCGTGTCTCGGGGCTTCATTCCTTTCTGTGGCTGAATACTACTCCACTGTGTGGACAGACTACGATCCGTTTATCCATCCACCAGCTTACAGGCCCTTGGGTCGCTTCCACCTACCTGAGTGTTCATGTGCAGACTTTTGTTTGAACACCTGTCTTCACTTCTCTTGGGGATTACCTTGGAGTGGAATTGCTGGGCCATGTGGTGACTCTGGGTTTAACTTACTGAGGAACTGCCAAACTGCTTCCCACAGTGATCAACATTTTTCATTCCCCAAAAGGGGTATTTGGGAAGCCAAGCTTGCAAAGTTGCCGAGAAGGATGTTGGCAATGGGTCAAAGCCCCTGCACTTGAGGGCCTTCAGCAGACAGTGCAGAATCGAGGCAGGGCGTAGGACAAGCTGAGCCAGCACCGCTCCAGATCCAGCTCTGCCACTTGTAGACTGTGTGCCCTCACGCAAGTTCTTCTCTGAGCCTCACTTCCCTCCTCTCTCTGTCTCTCTCTCTCAGCATCAGCACCACCACCATGCAGGGAGGACTCTGTAGCGTGCCCCAATTGTGACCAGGTCCACAGCTTCTTCCCGTTTTGTGATCAGCTTCCCACAAGCCCACCATCCCTGCTGCAGAAACCAGAGCTCAGACATGGCGCTTAGAGCAAGTGTTTAATGCCCATAAAATCCAAGGAACTCGATAATCCCAAATAAGGTCTCCTATACATTTCCCAGGAACCCAGCCCAGAAGGCAGCACTCAGAATGTATTTTAGAAGGAAAAAAACACCACTCTTCGATTTTTCTCAGGTCTCTCAGTATAAGACAGCTACGATCGTATCTCCAGGTCCAAACAAAAGAGGACCATGGGCTCCCGCCAAACCCTGCAGTTCCAGGCATTCTTGTGGACAACTCAAAAGAACTGCATCACCCACAGGAAAATGATAAGTGGGGTTCGGGTTTAATGGGCAGAATGAAATCCACTTCTTAGTGATCAGAAGGATTTCTGAAAAAGGAACAATTCTCAGATCAGATGTTCACACTGCACAGGCCCCTGCACTTAATCCTTTAATGACTGTGATTTTTAAGAGTTTCCAAAGAGGTATTACTGGAAACCCAACATCCTCACTTCACCCGAGACCAAGCTCAGCCCAGCCAGGCACAAACTACTCTCCTCCAGGGAGGCAGGGGCGTGGGGGCTGGTGTGTGTGGTGGGTAAGGTGGTCTCCAGCCTCCCCAGGCTCAGCCACCCCACCCTACCCCCAATCTCAACACTGACACAGGCCCAAATCCAGCCTCCAGTGTCTCCTCTCAGCCATGGGGAGGCTTTGGCCCAAGGTGCTTAATTTCTTCAGGTGTCAGTTTTCTCACCAGCCAAATGGGTGTAAACACTGACTGAGAAAAGGGCTGGCACCTAGTGACGCTCATGGAGATGTCATTGTACCGTCTTTGACATCATCAAGGTCCCCTCGCTTGTTTGACAGCCAGGGAGGCCAAGGCCCGGCAGGCAGGTGCACCAGGATCAGATCAGGCAGCTCCCATGGTTAGGGCCAGCCCGGAACCTGGCAGTGCTGCTTCCAAGCCCCTCTGCCCTCCCCCGCTGCTCACCTGGCCCCAGCTCTGCACCAGGCCAGGTCCTGAGGCTTTTTACTTGCTTTGTCCTGACAACATCCTCAGGAATAGGGACCATCACATTATCCTGTTTGACAGATGACGAAGCCCGCATCCAGGGAAGTCAATAACTTACCCAAGGTCACATGGCTGGTACAGAGTATCGCAGTTCACCTTCCTGCTCTTTACACCTGTGGGCCAGCCTGGCTCCATCCAGAGAAGAGGAAGGGGCAGGGCTGGCCTCACCAGGGGCTGGAGCCAGCAGCCAAGACCCAAGAGGAGTCCCTGGCTCACCTAGGAAGTGGGGCCCTGACAGCCTCCTTCTCCAGCATTAGGGCTGCTCCTTGACAAACCTCCAGAGCCATATTCCACAGCAGGTGCCAGAATGAAGAACACGGGGTCCAGGCAGCTTTGTCTGCTTACCAGGCAATTGCCAACTGTGGCCCAGGATATGGGGATTCTGGGGAAGTGATCAAGGCTTGGGCCTTCGAGCAGCCAGGATGGCACACGGAGGGCTCCCTTTTCTCCTAGGAAAAGTGCCAAACTCCTCCCTGTGGCCTGCAGGGTTCTACATGGGTGCCCCTGTGCTGGCCTCCTCTCCCTCCCACTCCAACCACAGTGGGCTTCTTTCAGACCCTTAACGTGTCAGTCTCCTCCCAGCCACAGTACCTTTGCACCTGCTATGTCTTCTGCCTCATCACCTCTTCACCAGTTAAGTAGTGTTTGTCCTTCCACTTCCAGCACCAGCTTCATTCTCTGGTGTAGCAGGTTGAACAGTCACCCCAAAAAGATATGTCCAAGTCCTAATCCCTTGTACCTGTGAATGTGACCTTATTTAAAATAGGATCTTTGCGGATGTAATTAAATTAAGGATCACAAGATGAGATCATCCTAGATTAGGATGGGCTCTAAATCCAATAATGAGGGTCTTTATAAGAGACAGAAAAGGAGAAGACACAGAGGCACACCAAGGGGGAAGGCCCTGTGATCGTGGAGGCAGAGGTTGGAGGCTTGCATGCATCTACAAACCAAGGAATGCCCTTCACCCTGGGATCTGGGGTTGTTACCTCACTTTTATAGGGCTTTTCATAGTTTGCAAAGTACTTTTATGCACTGTCTTAAGCAAAACGGAAGTTTATTTTTCATGTAAAAATCCTGGGGTACATGGAGGAGGACTGGTGCTCCCCAGTTTCAGAGACCCAGCCAGGCTTCTTACATCTTGCTGCTCTGTGTTGTGAAGTCTCTGTGCCTAATGCCACTTCATGGTCTAAAGTGGTTGCTCTTGCTCCAGCCATTGCAGCCCTCTCCCAGCCAGAAGACAGCGGGAGAGGAAAGGGTGAGGGCGTGCCCCTCTCTTTAGGATACTTCCCGGAAGTTGCACTCTCGTGTAACATCACGATGAACTGTAGGTGAAAAAATATTTTAGAAAGCTTAGGTGACATTTTCTCTTTCAATTCATTAATTAATTCCATCAACATCAACTTTGCATCTACCATGTGCCTGACACCATTGGCTTCTCCCTATATGTTTGTCTTATTCTCACAGCAACCCTCTAAGGCAGGTCCCAAGCCCATTTTACAGATGAGGAAACTGAGGCTCAGAGAGAACTGACTTGCCTGTAGCCCCACCCAGAGGACATGGCCAGGCTGGAGCCCAAACCTGGGGCTGGCAGATACAGGCCCCGGCTCCAGCGCCCCAGCCCTCCCTTGTCTGGGTGACACAAGTCATGGCCCCTTTATATTTCCTCTTCATTTCGTGTGACTCACACTGTCCAGTCCACCCTAGATCATTCCTCAGAAGGAATACCCAGGGATGGAGAGTGGCCACTGAGCCCTAAGAGACCCCCACAACAGCCTCCGGCTGGCTTGAAGGAGGGATGCCCTCAGCAACAGGCCCCCCCTGGCAGGTCATCACAGGGGATGTCCACCTTTTCCATGAGGCCGGCCTCCCCCAGAAGGGGTAGCTCTCCTGTCCCAGGAACAAGGGGACCAGGCAGCTGGCTCTATACGGGGACTTCCATGGGGCTCTCCCTGGGCTGCTCCTGGAAGGGCAGGAGGATCCCCTGCTGGGCTGTCACCAGGCTCTAGGCTCAAGCCCCAGGGCCCTGCCCAGCGGCCCCTCCTCCGTACCGGGAGTGGAGGAGCCATGCCCACTCCAGTGTTCTGGATGCTAGGCAAGCGCTGAGCCCCAAGCCTGACGGTCTCACTGTTGCCTCCCTGCCTGGGTTTGGTGATTCCCTGGACAAAATCCAGGGACACCTGCTATCCCTGAAGCCTGTTCTGCTCAGAGATACTCAGCTCTGCTCAGAGATACTCAGCTCTGCCTTTTTAAATGTGTGTAAGCTCCATATAAACTGTAGAGAAACAGACGAGGTTCTCCTGTCACCTAATCTGGTCCTGCACAGCCCACTGGGGGCCCCTGGATTCCTGACGCAGGACGCACCCAGGACGTGTGCCTGAAAATTGCACAGAAAGCCCATTGGCGACAGGCCCCAGGGGGCTCTGTCCTGACGGGGGTCCTGAAGCCCAGGCAGGGTCCACTGAGGCAGCACCCACATTCCCACTACCTGGTCGAGGAGGACGTGAAGTTAGCTGTTTCTCACAAAATCAAAGGCAAAGAGGCCTCCACAGGCGATAACTTGGCTCCATAACCAAATAAGGCAACATTGGACTTCACTGTTTATAGCGGCCCGAAAGTGGCGGCTCAGAGGGCGCAGGGAAGACGGTGGTTCACACCGCGCCTCTCCCTCCCCAGTGTCCAGTAACTCTGTCCAGACCCAGTCACACTTTCCTTGTAGAAATAACCATCTGTCATGTTTTAAGAACAAACTAACAAACCCAAGGGGCAACCCAGTCTCAGCCCCAAGCAGTCAGTTCCCCCGAGTGGCAGGACCTGGCTCTGAACTTCCACACTCATGATTCAAAGGTGGAGAAAGCCCCTACAATCTTTATTCCAGGGCCTGAGGCATTTCCTAAAAGGCAAACTTCAGAGCTCCATTTTTGAGGTGCCTTTTTCTTCCCTGAGAATTTACTGCAAACTCTTCTGCAAAAACGACAGTTGCCGCCACCGCTGCTGCTGCTGCTGAGAGCTTTGGGCAACCCTCCTGTCCTGACAGTATTTATAAAATGAGAGACACAGTTGGTAGGTCCGAGTTTTGGTAACTGACATTAATAATAGGACAAGTATAAATGTCTAAAACCCATTAGGAGGCTGCAACTGCTGAACAGAGCTTCAGCTTGCTGGCTTTTGCACCCTGGATGGGGACTAACTTAACCTACACCTGAGAAAACTCTAACTCCCTGGGGAATTCTAGCAGCTTCAGCATGACCCAGCACTGTCTGTGTACACCACATTTACAGAGCCCACAGGGAGGGCACGAATTTACAAAACAGGAGAAAACAGGACAGCATCAATCTCACTTTCAAAATACAATTTTTTTTTTTCCTTTTTTTTGTCTTTTTTCGTGTCCGGCAACGGGATCGCAACCCTCGGTGTCGCGCCCGCCCCTTGCTCAGCCAGTGAGCGGGAACCGGTCTGTATGTGGGATCCGAACCCTCGGCGGGAGCGCCACCGCACTCCCAAGCGGTGCATTGTAGCAGTGCGCCACCGGGCCGGCCCTCAAAATACAATTTTTTAACCTCCCCATGAGACCCTGCACACCTCCCCAGGCACTGGGTGGTATCGCTCTACCTTTATCCCTGCTGTCATCCTTCCCGGAACCTCGTGGTGCTCAGGAAATGGTCTCTGAATGGGAGAGTGAGTGCGCGAGTGAGCGAGCGTGTTATCGGAGCCAAGGGCAGCCCCGATTCCCTCCCTCCCATCTCATTTGAGGTTGTGCAGGATGGAGGTGCAGTGGTGGAATGAGCTTCTTGAGCCCAGAGTTGACTTCTGGGGAGGCCAACAGCAAATCAGTCCTCAGCTTTCCTGCCCTGCCACGCCCTGGCCATCACCCTTATCTCAGAGCTCCCGCACCCCCCGGAGGAGGACGACTCCCCAGCACCTTCTGTGTGGCTGAGACTCCACACTGTTACCTCACTGAGCCCGCACAATGGCCCTGCCAAGCAGGTGCTGCTGTGACCCTCATTTATCAGTCAAGGAAACAGAGACCCCAAGAAATAATTTGCTCACTCTTTCTTCCTTGCTCTGAACCAGACCTGTCACTGGACAGCCCCCTTCCTGAACTCGGCCACCCTCACCTGTGAAATGGAGATGCCCACCTCTTCATGTGCAGGGTTGGTGAGAATATCCAAGTAGATGGATGTCGAGTGCCTGGCACAGTGTGGGGAACAGAGGAAGCGCTCAGGCAAGAGCAGTAGAGTGATCTGTATGGACCTGGGTCACTCTCCTTCAGTGACCCAAGTCTTTCAGAGCTGAAGCCATATGGATGGAGGGAGAGAGGGTCCTTGGGTGCTGACCCTTGCTGTCAGCGGCTAAGCTGATCATGGGTCGCCCACAACCATGAGCAAGGCTGGAGGAGCCCAGCCCTCAGAAGTCTATTGGGATTCCGGGGAAATGTCTACACAGTAATGATTAACCCACATGCAACACTTGGCTTTGAACCTTCTTGCCCGCTGACTCGTTTTGCAAACTCTGCTCACCCTGGGAGTGGCCGCTGCTACCATGCCTGAGATTCCCACTGTGGAGGTGTCACATGTCCAAGTGGGGTGACCCTGGCATCCAGACCTGCCACCAGGGAGCCCAAAGCCAGAACATGGGAGGCAAGCCTCATGGAGGAGACAGCGCTGGAGCCCCTGCTGGCCAGTAAGGATGGGGCAAGGGCCTTGGTGGGGATGGGGGGGCAGGGGGAGCATCACTCACATCCAGTCCAGCCCAGGTGGGACACCCAATCTGTCCCTTTGGGACCCTGCAGAGGGCATGGGGAGACCCAGGGAGCAGCTTTTAACCAGTGCCCAGCCCAGCCAGGAAGGGGCAGGAGAGGTGACTCCAGGGAGAGCAGGCCCTGACGGCAGGTGTGTTCATGCAGGGCACCCTCCCAGATGGCAAACAACCTTTCTAACAGCAAAAGTCACAAACCCTGGGGTTTCTCAACTTTGGCTCTGTTGACATTTGGGGTGGATAATTCCTCATCGTGGGGGGCTGTCATCTGTATTGTAGGATGTTAAGTGCATCCCTGGCCTCTACCCATTAGAGGCCATGGTACCCTCTGTTGTGACAATCCCAAAATGTCCCCAGACACTGCCCAATGTCCTCTAATAACAAAATTCACCCCCTTCCACTAAGAACCACAGCATTGCCTATACTGAGCACTGTGTACCAGACTCTGAGTTGAGCATTCAGGCCCTGGTGTGTTTGAGGCTCACAGGGTCTTACCAGTTGGTCCTGATGCTGGTGATGACTCAAGGCTTTGGGACACATGCCAATAACAATGTTTTAAAAGTTAAGGTTAAAACCAAGCACAGAGAACCACAGGGTGGGGGCACAGTGGTCTTTGGGTTTGGTGGTCAGGTGTCCCGCCTTTGCCAACCAGATTCGAGCCCCAGCTTTCTTGGCTGACTTTGGTTTGGTTACAGATTTCTCACCTGTGTGGGAGAGATGATAATGGCACCTACCTGAGAGGCTGTTCTGAGGCTGGAGGAAACCACTGCAGGTAACAGGAGAGCCCCCAGTGCAGCAGAGGGACCCCCGAGGCCAGCCTCTGCTTCTCAGCAGGGACTCAGCAGGGCTGCTCTCTCAGTTCCTGGGCCCAGAAGCCCAAGATGGTGGGTGTGGCTGGCAGAACAATGGTCTCTGCCTTCCCCCAGACATCCATGCCCTAATCCTTGCAACTCGTGGCTCTGTGACTTTACATGGCCAAAGTGGCTTTGCAGGTGTTATAAAGGATCTTGAGAGAGGGAGACTGTCCTGCATTATGTGTGTGGTCCCCACACAGGGGCCTTATAAGAAAGATGCAGGAGACAGGAGTCAGAGAGAAGGAGATGGGACTATGGAAGCAGAGGTCGAAGTGATGTGGGGCCATGAGCCAAGGAATGTTGGCAGCCTCCAGAGGCTGGAAAAGGCAAAGAACAGATACCCCCAGAGAGCCTGCAGGAGCAACCAGCCTGATCAACACCTCGATTTTAACTCTGTGAGCCCATTACCAACTTCTCGTCTCCAAATTGTAAAAGAATATATTTGTGTTATTTTAAGCCAGCAAATGTGTGGTCTTTTGTTACAGCAGCCACAGGAAACTCATACAGTGAGTCTCTCACATCCTGCCTGCCTATGCCTCAGACATACCCAGAGCTGTGTCTTCTAACCCAGGCCCCCTCTCTGAGCCACAGTCTCCTCGTGGTGGGCCAGTGAGGTACTGTGCAAATTGTAAAGCCCCTGTCCTCATCTCCCTGGCTGGGCTGGTGCCCTGATGGTGGAGGATGGGTTGGGTGAGTCCCTCAAGCTGGAAACC